TCACACACGGCTTTCGGTAGAGAACTGTTTGCGTTAGGCCACCTGCACAAACGTTTCCATACAAAAAACTGTGTGTGATATACATATGAACGGAAATGTTTTTCTGGGATTCACCGTGTGGGATGTACATACGAACAGAAACAATTGGGTTTCGATGCCCCGCTAGATCGCACACGTGCTCATTTTGCCCCAGCCTGTGTGCCAGGAGGGCCTATCCCCGACGGTTTCTGGGTCGTGTGGGAAGGACCCCCCTATCGCCCACACTCACTTGGCGACGATTCCAAACACCGTCGTGGAAAGGGGTTAAAAACCGTTTGTATAGTAGGTCTCTGCACCAGTGATAAAGGATGATACAAGATCCAAACGCAACAAAGGACGATACAAGAGGTGCTAGTTTTTCTCCGTGAGGAGGTCTTGAGGGGTCTTCCCGTGAGGGGTCTTGAACCACTTGGGGGTCTTCTCCTTAGAGGCCAGTATGAAGTGCATGAGCAAAGCTCTATCTCTCAAATGAACAAAACCAATGCTAACCCTAGAAATAGGGAGAAGGAGGAGTATATATAGTCTAAGTGGGCGAAGGGTACATGGGCCTCGGCCCAACACACTGTGCGCAGACAAGCGTCGGTCGTCCGGCAGCTACTGGACGTCTGATGGCTCATGAGGGTCCAGACGTCTGGTAGCGGTCGGACATTCGACATTTCGGCTTAGATCAGGCGGGATCGGATTTCCGGAGGAGGTCGGTCGTCCAGTCGTCGGTCGTCCGAAGGTCTCGGATTTTTGTTAATTTTCCTTCTAATGTGTGGCACCGGTCGTCCGGAGGGGCTCGGTTGTCCGGTGGCTGGGAGGCATCGGACGTCCGGTCCACGTCGATCTTCCGGCTGTTGTAGCGTTCGTTGGCTGGGACTTGGCTGGCTAGCTAGCGCTTCAGGCGTCAGACGCCCGGCCTGGTCCGGTCGTCCGGTGGCTGGAGATTTTCTGGCAGCTCTTCTTCTTGTTCCTTGTACTTGGTGTCCTCACTAGCTCGTCTGTTGGATGTAGTTGTCCCGTGGCTTCCCTCTAAGTACCTGGTCACACATATGTTTTCCACTTGAGGTAGTAGCCATGTCTCACATGTAGAAAATGGTAGTTCGAAGAGGAGCGAGTTCACCTTGGTTTCGATAGCCTTTGCTTGAGCTCTTATTACTAGTCCAAGTGGTGTCGGAGACGTAGGTAGGTCCATGGGGATGACTGTGGGATGCTCCGCATCACCCCCCTAAACCTATCTTCTTCGATCCTACAGTTGCAGACGATGATGATGATGATGATGATGATGATGATGATGATGATGATGAAGGTGGTGATGATGTAGATGTTGATGATGATGTCATTGCTCACTCGGTGAGAGGAATCCCCTTCTTCTCTCGGTCGTTCCTCCCTACGGATGGGCTTTGGATGCTAGGGTTCTGCCTTCTGGATGAGTTTCTAGAGACTCTGTTCGTCGCTCTCATGATTCGTTTCGACGGGGTGAAAATAACTGATCCCCACGAGGTGGTGGGGCGCCAAACGACCACTCATGCGAGCGCGTTACGCCATCGTTCGCTCTGGAAGAGCAACGACGACTGTTTCTTTGGCCTTCTTGCTTGATTTTCTTATGGAAGTGTTCATCACCTTTAATACATGATTCCACTACCATTGTTTAGGGTTTTCTTCATTAATTGAATATTGCTTCAAAAGACGTCACCTGAAGGATTAACAACAAAAAGAAGTGCGTGAACGCGGTAAAATTCCACAAAGCCCAACTTGTAGGCACAAAATAGTATGAAAAACATCATGTAAATTGGACTCATCACATAGTGTGGTTGTCATGCTTACTCTACTCATGGATTAGATTAATCGATAAATTGTTAATATTTCCAACAGGCAGCCCTCTAAAAATGCAATCTAATTTATGATATGCAGTAGACACCAACTGTTCAGCAACTTGATGCTATTTCACAAGTATTTGCTAGGATTATGATGACATTTAGATTAAATTATACTATTTGGCACCCCCAATTTTATGATCCTACGCATCATCACCCGGATGTGACAGTGTTGTATACAGAAAAGCTCAAATAGCTCGATAGTCTTACCGAAGTAGACAACAAATCCTAAGAGCATCTCTAGCAGATCTGTATAACCTTACTCCCTTAAAATCCCGGTCAATTTACAGGAAATATGAAAAATTCGGCTTGAACAGATCTCGTAAAAAAAAGGTCCAGCCTGTAAAAGAATATTTGTGTGGTCCGTAAAACTTGGGCGTGGCCACTATATTTACCGGATCCAGTGCTTTTTAGGGTCCCTATCCGGTAAATCCCCCACCC